GTGTCCCTGTTCCAGTCATCTCCCCAGCCTGCTTCCACCACGTCCAACGGCAGAGCCCGAGCCACTTGGAGAAATCCCGTCACCGGTGTCACCGGAGCCCCAGGGGTCCCAGGCGTCCCAGGGGTCCCATCGTGCAGCTTGGTGTAGTTGATGCGGAAGTAGTCAGGGTCAAGGCCTGTCCTCTCAACATGGATCAACATGGATCAGTGCTAAGGGATGTCCAGTGACACCTCACCCAGATTTTTTTCAGTTGGTTACCATGGGGAAAACATGGGAAAACAGCTGAAAGTGTCAGGTTCAACAAAGCATCCAAAAAGAACATGCAGATCATTCAATTGCCCGGGTTGATTGGTGCCTCTGGATGATGGATACTTGAAACAACACCCATCCCAGACCTGTCCTGTTGGCCAAAATCTCCTTGATCTTTTGCATCATCCGAGCATCGTGCACCTTACACCCCATAAAAACCATTCACTTTCCGACAAAAATCCAACAGAACAGTAAAATTGCCATCCTTGATCGAAAAATCATCTACAAATTGGTGATCTAAAAATGGTTTATATATGTTTCTATGTGATTTTCTATGTCCAGGTTGGATGATCGGATTCCAGATGGCATGGCCAAGTGACGGGAAAAAAACACTCAGGCCTGCACGAAACGGTCCGCATCAGTGACCTGATGCCAAGATTTTGCCGCAGCTGTAGGGGTGATAGGGGTGAAGAACATTGTTTATCGATGCTGGGCGTTGCACATTCACCGAAATGTGGCCGGGAGAATATCCTTCGAGAATGCCTGCAGGAATTCCTTCAGGAACTCCATCCGACACCTGCCACAATTCGACACTGGAAACGCATCTGCCCATGGCCGCAAAATCCATGTCAAGAGACCCAAAATCATCACAAAGTACAGGAATTGTCGTCTATCACTGGAATCACTCTGGTCACCAATTATTGCTATCTTGTGGCCCCAAGCATCCCAAGCCTGACACAGGAGGAACGCTGAAAACTAGGAGTTTTTTTTCTATGGGTTGCCGGGTTGGGCATAGAGTCTCCGCCGCTCTCGTCTCAGGTCAGAGCAGAGGCGTTTCACGTTGGACATGTTTCATGCCTGTCTGGGCGCATGACGCCTGCGCACAAAGTCTGGTAGATCGCAGTAGCCATGCCGCGCGGGCCCGCGGAGACAACAAGACGCAAGGCCAAGTGTTCGATTCTGCCATGCCTGGATCTTCAGTCGCAGTCTGATGGTTTCATCTAAGTTAGTCCTCTCGAGCAAAGCACTTTCTATACTTTTCAGCATTGGCTCACGTGATCCCTGGGCCGCCCGTCTCGTGCAGAGGAGTTGGGCTTGTAGCAGGCTGCGGCAAATCGAATGCCTTCCTTTCTTTCTGGACATTGCGCTTGTTTCACCACAAGAAAGTTGACCATGTTCTTCCTTGATGAACTCTTTGCATTGAAAACGCGCACAAACTGGTGCCAGCTGGCTGCAATCGTGGAGGCGCCAACTGTGGTTTCCAGCCGGACTGGGGCCAGCACACATTGCAGTTTTGAGTTGGGAGTTCTTCCATGTTCTTCCTTGGTCTCTTGAATGAGCAAATTGGTTGCAGCTGGCCCGGCCAGTCTTGGAAGCTGCAAGTGTGGCTTCCCGGGCGCAAAGGCGTCAGTGCAAGGAGAATGCGTTAAGCGGGCCAGAGGAGTTGACACCTTAGATTCTTTCCTGACTGGGATCGGTAGCAAACCATGCGGGTTAAAGATTGCCATGATGCGTCAATTTGTGCGCAGGTCACACAACCCTGGATTGTCAATCCAACGGAGGTAGGTTGTTCCGTAGGTTCTTCAGGATTCTTTCCTTGGTCAAGTTCTTGCAGTGACAATGTATGGATACTGCTTGCAGGCGAGGGGAACTGTGAATCTGCACATGCAGATTCCAGTTGGGGAGAGGCAGTGACACATGTCCACATGTTAGTTCTGTTGCGTCAGTGGGTCAGTGGAGTTGGCATGTTAGGTCCTTTCCGGGCTGCTTGGGATCGGAAGCAGAGCATGCAGGGAAAGTTTGCCATGATACGTCAGCTCTTGTGCGTGAGGCAATTCTATGTTGACTTGGGATTTTGAAAGTGTTAAGGGCGACCTTTTTTGTTCCAAATTTGCGCCCCGAGACACGAAAGAATATCGCCCCTCAGATGGCCAAGTTCTGCATTGACAATATATGGATACTGCTTGCAGGAGATTGCAGGGAAAGAGCCGCGCTTGTCACGCCAAACAGCCGCGCAGCCCATAGCCAGGGGCGCGGAAGCAACAGCAAGCCAGTCTAGAGAGGCAGGAAGAGTCGCGAGACAAAGAAGCTGGATAGAGAGAAGTTGGATAGAGAGAAGCTGTAACCAACAGATACCGGGGGATTGCTTAAACGCTTAAACGACCAACTTAACGGGCCTACAATTTGTTGTTGGGAGCACTGTGGCAACAACCTTACCCATCATTGCTGATCCTCTGCGTTTTCACTCGGAGCGAGAATGTTTTCGGGATGCTTGCGATTGGTTCCATGCGTCTGCCGTGCACAAGTGTTCTGGCCCGGTCAAAAGTTTCTGAATCTTATTTGGCAAGCAGATAGACGAGGGACATCAAGATAGGATTTACTTCCGCGTCCCCAATTTGGTGAGTTTGACCCAAATCTTGAAAAGTCCAAAAACGTCGGAAGCCTTTTTTTTAAGGCATGTTTTCGACAAAGAGGCTTATAGGTTGACAGAGATGGGGGGGGGAGGCGGGGGCGGTGGATGCAGCACAAAAACAAGGAACCCCACATAGTGATGTAAGGAAAATTGAATTTTCAAAAAAAAAATGGGGGATTCCCAAAACCATAGGGCTCAATACTAAAACATCTTATTTTTGGGTGATTTGGGGATACCCCAATTTTAGGAACCCCGCAAATAACTTTTCAGATCCACCCAACCCCTCAACCCCGGCCCCACCGGTGCCGCGGTCGTCCATGCCGTGGTGGGCGGCGGCGTTGTGATGCGCAAGGCTTCCCGGATCTCGTCCTCGGTGACATCAAGGCCTTGGGACTTCAGGAACTCCTGGCGGTGCAAACCAAAATGAATACCCAATGCTAGTGATGCGTGATATGTTCATTGGTTATAGTTGGTTATTATACGTTATGATTTGTTATTAAAAGTGATTATTAATGATACCCAAGGGTAATTAGTCACTACTCAGTCTCCAACGGCCACAGCTACCTCCTAAGCTACGAGCTTTCCCTTCAGGAGGAATGATGGTAGTCAAAAAGTCAATATGTACATTCTTGGCATTTCAAAAGTCAGCTTTTCAGATTTGAACCCAGCGAACTGACTACAGCTCCGATCATCGCCATTGCTTTTGGCGTCTGGGTGGGCAAATTGTCGGTTTCTGTTTTGCACAAAGACACCAAACCCAAAAACTCGATGCCGAAGCCATTCATTCCCAAAGGCGAAAACAACTTTGCCATGTGAGACCAAGTGTCTCCCTGACAGTTCCTGCGCCACTGCCAGCTAAATATCCAGCCCCAGAGCCCGGCATTGATCTTCTTTGATGATTTGTCTTTGGCTCTGATTTCAAATGGAACAAATTCCTTCATATATGTCCAGTGCTTGGGTTCCTGCTAGGACTGCCAGCTATCAAGAGCGGGTTGGAAATTACTCTGGGAAGTGCAACGTAACATCACGAGCGGGCTGAAGTGCTCACATGCATGTTCATAGCGTAGATGCAACAGCGGATTGAAAACTACTATGGGAAGTGCAACAACGTAACATCACGAGCGCGTGGAAACATTCACATGCTCATAGCAAGATGCAAAAGCGGGTGAAATTACTACGGGAAGTGCAAATCAATTCATCAAAGAACCCAAACGATTAAGCACCCACCCCACCCCACCCCCCCACCCCACTCCATGCAAGAGTTACCATGAACAGAAATATATACATCATAAACATCTGACAAGTACACGAAAAACGCTATTCCTCAGCGCCGCTATTGGCGCGAGCAAAAACAACATGTTTTCGTTCGGGTTTAGTATGGCTTAAAAATAGGCTTCGTATGGTTCAAATAGAAAGCAGGTTCCCATGGGGGAATGAGTTTTCATTACAAATGAGAGTGATGATTTATGCACTTAGATGGTCTGAAACCATGGTAATGCTCAGTTTTTTCATCATGACCTCGTCATGATATATATATATATATATATACAGCAAAATATTCACAGGCACCCAAAACACAAAAAAAAAACAAAGCAGTAGATGCACCAAACCTCAAACCTGCACAGGCAGTGGATAAAAAGTTGAGATCTCAAGCATCAAAGATTGATCAATTGTTCCAGAAACCCTGATAAATTCGATACCCTTAGGGCTCTGACAGGTCAAAAGCTCTTAGTTCCATCTTCGGGAGAGGTTTCAAGGTGTTGTCTCTTTCTGTGTGATGATAGATAAAGATTTGGATCCCAAAAAAAAATCAAAACCAGCTGGAACAGTCTGGAACCCATCAGCTCCTTCTGGTGAGCACGAGTGATCTGCCCGTTGTTGCCCACTGCTTGATCTGCCGCAGAGGCCCACTTTGAGACCTGCGACTCCATCTGCGATCCGACCGAAGCCAACAAAAAGTTGAACTCGATGTTTGACAAAAAAGGTGTGCCCATATTCTTTGGATGTTTCATGATGTTTCCACACTCATTGAAAACCCTTGAAATCTTATAGATATTTGAAATTTGTATAGATTCTTTGGGCATCAGAACTATCATCTCGACATCGCCCACCTCCACTGGTGCATAGGTCACAGTGGGCGCTGCTACAGGGGGCCGCCAGTGGAATCGGGACCTGTGATCCGGAATCATCCACTTTCATCCAGACTTCTCCAGGTTTTCCGGTCACAGACTTCTCCAAAAGGTCCAAAACATGCTCCAAATCTCGACTTTGGGGTGTTTGAGTTGTGGTTGACTTTCTTGAGATGAATTTGAGACATCACGAAAAGAATGTTGATTTCAAGCATTGATATTGATATCTTTGGAAATTGTGATTTTGATTGATTTTGCAGAATGCAATGGATCACAGTGGATGTGCTTCCTGAGCACTTGACGAAGGGTTGCACGGCTTCCCATCCAAAGTCAACTGGGTTTTCCCAGGTGTTTCACGAAATCAGAGATGCAAACAGCAACTGCCATGTTGACATAGCGGACATAGCGTTCATCATCCGGCTATGTCATGGCCATGTCTCACCAAGGTGACACCACTGAGCGACACACCCAGCCCTCCAAAGGTTCTGAAGTGTCCAGCAACGATGCCTCCAGGGATGGAAAAATCTGCTGGAAGCTCTGGGCATTGCAGCGTGGAAAGCTGTGGCATCAGGAATTCAACGAGATCGGCAAAACAGAAAGCTTCAATTTGTCAATTATATGATAACAACGTTCACTGGTTCCAATCCCTATAGCTGGCATGAATCCTCTCTTCAACATCAGGAGCATCATGTTCGGTTTCATAGCCCATTAAAAATGACAGACACCCGCACTGTTTTCGCCAGGAATCGGGTTGATTCCACATCTGCTGAAAGGATGTCGTTGACTCCGACCCCTATGGCCCTATGGCCCTATGCTATGACTCCAACCCCCCACCGCACCTGATGAAGAAAGACCTTCCGATATCGGCAGCCAGCCGATTGCGACTCAGGTGATGAAGTGGATGGCAGCAGAATCGCCGAGGCCTCCCATGGACCATTGCAAAGCCAACTAACAATGACCCTGAGAATTGCTAAGGGGAGAAAGTAAGGCAGCTGTTGGAAGGTAACGTTGCAGATCCCACAAATCACAGGAGGCATCTTCCAGGCATCTGAAATTAAAAATTCCATAAGAGTGGCATAGCATCTCCAGTCTCAAAGCACTCAAACATTTCCAGCCTGGAGTTTGTGAGTTCAAGATTTTGTTGTTTTAAACAGTTTGATGTTGATTAAATGTGATTTAATCTGATTAACGACGACCAGTTCTTCGATGTGTTTTAATAGCCACCATCCCATCCAATCCAAGCAGCCTGGACCAGAAGTATTGGGAGCACTGGGAGCATCTCCCACCAGGTGGGTCTACATTTTCATGGCCTCAGCTATCGGTGATCTTTTTGTAGAAATCCTAATCGGAAATCGGGGAAAAATGCCGAGTAAAAATTCCGCTAATAACTTCCGTTCTTATGGCTTTCCCATCATAATCCGCCGATGTCCACGGTCTAAACATATCTAAACATCATTGAAGATGAAAAGCAGGTTTCAATGGACGGGGGGGACCTATCAACTTTAACGGAGTGCACATGGTGACGCTCCTGCAGCGATTGGGGAGGATCCAAACTGAGGGATGGACCGCTGCAACAGAAATGTTGCAGAACTGAGCCAAAATGGCAGCAAATTCCGAAGAGTTCATGACGATTTGAGCAGAATTCTGCTGTGAAATGATGTGGCTTTGGCCAGAAGTGGAATACAAGTACACCCGGTCACGCAGTGCCATCATGTGGCTACGGTTTATCAGTTTGCTCTCTTTAGATAGGTAAATCAAAGTGGATGAAAATACAGGTATCCACCATGGTTGACTAATCAGCTCCGCCCTCTTTCGAATCGGACATCTTTTTTGCTCAAGTCTCTAAGCGACAGTTGAGCAGGTATTCATGAGCTTTGCACAGAACTGGAGAATAAAATTTCAGGAATTCCTGAATTTTCTCCTTGGGATTTTCTTGACACAGTTTGGAGAGAAAATGTTCCCGCGACGGCGCTGCGCGGATTCCCGCCTGGATCACGTTGCGGGTGAGGAAGTTGTGATGCGGCCGCAGGGAGGCTTCGTATCCCAGTTGGATGCACCTGATCCGAGAAGATTGATGCCATATGGTGCCGTAAAGCGCCATAAATATGGCCTGTCAACCGTGAAAGTGATGATAAACATTACATTTTTTTAACCATACAGGATTTTGGGATACCCCAATGTATTGCAAATTTTGATGGAACAAACAAAAGATGGAGAATTCATAGAGCTTCAATACGCTTCAATCATGGTTTGAATATGTTTTAACTGACAAACCATGGGATTTGCTCTCTTTTGCATCCGGTTTTCCCATGTTTTCCCCAGATTTCCCAGGTCCACCATGGTCCACCATGGTCCACCTATGCAGCTGCTGTTCTTCGTCCAACACCTGCAGAGTCTTCTCCAACAAACGCAAGGCGCGGGTGAGCCACAGAAGTCCTTGCCGTTACATTCACGTGAAAACGTTTGAACATGGAAACTCACTCACTTTTCAGGTGGCCAAAAGCATATGCGCTCAAATTAGGACCAACAGTTACACCATGTTACACCATGAAAAGGAAACTAAGATTCTAAAGGTCTGAAACTTCCAAGAACGAATCAAGATAATCAAGCCCAAATATCTCAAATGGAATCCAGAAAAAATGCAACGAGAATTTGCCGAGACTCCCATGGCAGCACTACCTTCCACAATGGCCTTGGCATAGGAGCCCGCCTGCTTGCATTCGCCATCAATCAGATCCTGGAGGGAAACCTGGTCATTCCTCACATGCTGCTGAATCATCTTGGCATTTTTCCTCATGTCGGCCTGAAAACTCTGCAGCAGCTTTCCAAAAGAATCAAAGATCACAATGGTTGCCAGGGCAGCTTTCACAAAGCTGGCGGCACAAATCTGAGACTTTTCCCTCATTTTGGTGGAGGTTTCTCTCCATCCCAAAATGGCTTCGTCCAAGACCGATCGAGTGGCCAAGTTGGAGATGCCATCGCCATCCCCAGCGGCCCCAGCGGCCCCAGCACCATATCCCCCGGCGCCCTGGGGCATTCGCCCCAGGGGCAGCCCCTCGAAGCCCTCGACCTCGCTGCCGCTGTCGGGGGTGCGGAAGCCCTCGCTGTCGCCGTCCTCGTTGGTGTCGGCGTTGCCGCCCAGGAAGGTCGACAGCTCCAGGGCGGTGCGTTGGAAGTTCCTGGCGTCTGGTGGAAAACCCATGGTAAAACCTGAAAAACAACTGTAAAACCTGGTGGATCCTGATGCTACAAGCTGTTTGGACATGGTGAATCACAAAATGAATAATATGTGAATGGTATGATGAGGGTCTGCCATTTAAGTTGACGAAGCACACCATTACTGAGATGTTCAATCATCTTCAATCATCTTCAATCTGTGCATATGATTCATATAACTCATTTCATATACCTAGCCATAGCTACCCATATGCCATAGCCACCCAATTCCAAGTCTCACTGCCATTGCGAAAGGGATGGGAAAGGGAAAGGGATGGGCGTCCTGATGTCTTTGGCCGCATCCTTCCACATCATGGATCTGGTGTTGGCCGCATGCCAAGCCGCGTCCCAGGCCAGTCGTTTGATGAGGCCCGCCAGATCCTGGACGTGTGCCATGAATGTGCCCAGTGGAGGAGAAAGAACTAGAAAGAAGAGAAAGAACATGAAAGAACTAGAAAACAAATTTAAAAGAAAAGAGATGAAAAGAGATGAAAAGAGATGAAAAGAGATGAAAAGAGATATATAATCGGTATATACCAGATAGATCTTTGCCTTCAACACCATGCCCATATATCCCCATCATCCCACTTCTGCCAGAACCTGGTGCAGTGGAAATCTCTCAACATATCTGGTGCAAGGGACACGCGAGGTCAGCCGTTCAAGAAGCTCCGCGTAGAACTCAACACCTGGTACGGGTGCAAGTGAGTCCAAGAAAGGAGGCATATCAATTATTGGTTGGATTGGTTGGATTGCTTGGTTTACCTGAAGCCTGAATGCATCTGAATGCTATTGTTCCAAAAACATGGTTGAAGAATGTTGAAAAATGTTGAAAGAGTTTCAATCCATTTCGATTGGCGTGCTATGTTCCCCAGATATCTTTTGCCACGTTCCCCAAATCCTCTAGACGGGGCCTGGTAGTCTCACGTGAAGCTGAAAATTCCCATTGCCAAGTTTGATTACCATCACCTATCCACCCATCCAACATTTGAATATGTCTCAAAATGGGATGTACACCCCGTAACTCCGTAACCCCACCCACATAACCATCCACACCATCATATATTCATTCCCCCATCCTCTCGCAATTTGTGATTATAAACCTTCAGTTTGTTCGTGGATTTCCAATTGCTTTGATTGCCACAGAGTATCCAATTCATCTCCCATCAAATGGAGGATTCTGCAAAAAACGCCTCCAGTTTGCCATGTGGATTCTCATTTCTGTTCCCATCCATATCCCCACCATCCCCACCATCCCCACCATCCCCACCATCCCCATCCTGCCTCTCCGGTCTTTTTCGGCATCGCTGTAGCAAAAGCGCCGTTGGTTCGCCGCGTGCCACGCCGCGCAGAGCGCCAGCTGCTTCATCGCCTCAACGGCCTCCGCGGTGAAGGCCGGGTTCAACGGGGCGCGCTGCAGACGGAGCGCGGCTTCGTCCATGGTGCGACGGTCGCGGGATGCGGAGTGCCAGAGGAAACTGCGTTCCTTGGTGGAATGGAGGGAGGGAAGATGTTTGAAAATTCACGAACTGGTTAGATCTGGTTAGACTCTTAGACTGAATGAGTTGGATCATTTCATCTAAAATCATCCAGGCTGTCAAACTGGGGAAAATGAATAGTTGGCTTTTGGGAGCGGCTTAGGATGATCCTCCCGGTGGGTCATGGGACGGAGCTTCTTTTTGTTTCCAGGCTGCCAGGTAGAATCATAATCAGATATGTGGAAATGCATCTTGTGTCTGATTTTCTTTGAAGTAACAAAAATCGAACCAAAACAGTGAACAGCAAAATATCTTAGACTGAAATAAATGTGAAGTAAAAAAACAGGTGACGATGAGCATCAACTTCTTGGGTTTGAAAAAAAAACGGATCTTCGGCCCTTGAAACCAGGCACGTTGGCGGCAGACCATGCAGCATGAAGAGTGAGCTGCTGCAAATCTTCAGCCATCAAATGGTCAGGTTTCCAAGGCTCAAAAGGCTCAAAAGGGTTGGGATGGAATGGGATATCTATGGACATCCACTGGAATCCGCTGGAAGTTGTCTTTATGACCAGAAAATCCATCTAGGGGTTTATATTTGGGGGGGAACTGGGGACTGGGGACAATGGGAACGACTAGAGGTACAGGACACGACTATTGACATCCACTTGTGCAAGTCTGTCGAAATCATGTTCGGATATATCGATATATCTGTCTATTGCAAATATAATCATGTACCTGTGACGTAGGCCTAAGCGAGCCAAGACGTAGGCCTAAGCGAGGTACTGACCAAAGTAGGCGCTGCTTTCCTCAAATCTTATGTCCATTAAGCCTTCATACGGTATGGTGGTTTTTTTCATCAAATGTCAAAAGTCAAAGCTCCCATTTCGATTCTTTTACATGTTTTAATTCTGCCTGCCATCCCATAGTTGTAATTAGAGGAAATGCAAGCGGGCAATGCCAAAAAAATATATACCAGTATGATGCGTTTACAAACATGAAAACTGAAAAATCACACAAAGACACACAGGTTCGTTCTTCTGACCCATCGACCCTGCATGTGGCCCGCCTTCGCCACCCACCTAAAAGGGTCACAGGTTCGAACTCACGCAGCTCCAGACCTCAGCGAAGCGAGCCGGAAAAAAAAAACTCCGAGTGGCAAAGAAACGCGGGAAACTCTTAAGGAGATGGGGTTCAGTGGTGATGGGAAAGTCGGTCCGAATGGCAAAATGAAAGTCAAAATGTAAGCCAACATCCAATGTTGCTGATGTCCATCAGTGCAGTTTTAATCCTGTTGGTTTTGACCCACATCTGTGCCAGGCGGATTCTAAATCTGGAACTGCTCCCACAGTTCAACTGACGCATCCCACAAATTGCAATCTGAGCCAAAGGACGACACACACCTGCACAGCGAGGGATTGAATAGCTCACAGATTTTGCCGACCACACATGCAAAGTGCATCAGAGTTCTGTGTCCACAGCAATTCGCTCTCTCTGAGGACTTCCAGGTCAGAGCAGAGTGCTTCAGACTCAAACAAGACTCTTGGAAAACACGAGCGGCTTAAGATCTTTTCAGACGACCTGCTAACAGCCATTTCTTGCGGTACATCCCCGGCTGCCACTGAGGCTGGTCGGGAGGGTACGTGCCCGGCTTCCACTGAGGCTGGTCGGGAGGGTACGTGCCCGGCTGCCACTGAGGCTGCTCGGGAGGGGTTCGCATGAGAGGTGTTCATAAACAAACAATTTAAGAAAGGCCCTAGGCCCTAGGCAGTCAGCTTGCAGGGAAAAAAACTGAATGCCAGCAATTGCTCTTGCGCGGAAAAGCTGAAGCCGAGCTCAGCGTACGCAAACGAGGTAAAACATAGTCAGCCTGCTACAGCCTGATTCTTTCTCTGTGGCTGCCAGCTTCTCACTCACTGACTCCATCACGCGCAAATCTCTTCCTCTTCCAGCTCTGATGCTTGAGTCTGGGAACGGCCAAAGCTGTAGCTCTTGCGCAGGTAGCTCTGCATCTTGGCATCATCCTCAAATGCCAAAGACAGCATCAGGCCGCTCTTGCGGCGACCACGGCCTGCGGAGCGGTCAGCATCTTCGAAAGGCTTTGATGCAAACATGCTGAATGCACCGAACCTCCTTTCTGTGGGTGCTGACACTGCCATGACTTGCTGCTTGATCCTTCCGCCCTCGCTCAAGAGGTATTGAGGGGGAAAGAAGACTCGGACATCTTGGCGGCATGCCGCCAACAGAAGCAAAGCTGTAGGGGCGTAGTTCCCACTCTTGCAAAGAGCCGATGCCAAGTCCTCTTCCGAGAACCCTTGGCAAATGTCGCAGTAAGTCTTTTGGCGGCCGATAAACTTTTCCAGCAGCTGACCATCCGGCACTGCTGCCTCTTCCACTCCCTCGAGTGCTTTCTCCACCCGCTCCTGAAAAGGCTTGTTCAACTCTCCACGTGCCTTGCGAACAAGGCGGTGAACGAGGACAGTGGTCTTCAAGAGCTGGGGAAAGCGAAATGGAGAAGCCTTCACCTGCCCAGACTCATTGTATGTGCTGAGCATGGCATCCATGAGTTTCTTGTACTTCGGAACATAGCCAGGCTTCTTCTCCTTGGCATTCTCCTTGAAGAGGCAAAAGGCCGTGAGGACGTCGCAGTTGCAAAGCTCCAAGTAGTAGCCATCAGGGTCACGCACAAAATACTGTGTGATCTTCCCTTCACTGCTCTCAAAAGCTTCCACCAAGTTCTCTCTGGCCTTCTGAGGATCAGGCACTGAAATATTTTGCCGAAACGGCACCTCGTACTCCAACAACTTCTCCAAGACCTTGTGTGGCTCGTTGGTGTCCAGGGCGATGTGAGAGACGATCAAATCACGACCTGATGGAGCATTGGGAACTCCTTTGATCAAGTGCAGTTCCAAATTGCCCATGGTGAGCCAGGCACCATGTCGATCAAAGTTGGGCCGCTGGATTTGCTGGAAGCCAATGATCTCTGTGTAGAAGGCCAAGGAACGCCCCACGTCCGAGACAATGATGGCAATGTGGTTCACACTCCGAATGAGATCTCCCATGCCACGCCGTGGAATCTCCGGATTCCAATGAAGGTGAGGTTCTGGTGATTCGACAGGGGGATCCTTCCGGAAGAGGACCAAGAACATCACGAGGCCCACCAAAGCATTGCAGGTGATCAGCACAGCTGCTGCGGCCACAGGAAAGGCTTCCAAGAGCCCAACCCCAGCCCCAGTCAAAGCGCAGCACAGCAAGAATGCCACGAAGATACGCAGGCGCAAGGCCATGATGCGATTCAGCGAGTCCACGTTGATAGAAGAGAACTGAAGCTACAAATTGGCTTGAGACCCGGTTTGAGCAGCGAGGTGCAATAAGCCAGCAATCAGCAAGTCAAAAGAAACTGGCCAAGGTCACACCCCAGCAACGTTTGCAAACACTTCAACATTTCCCCCACGCATCCATTTTACCATGACTCAATGAGTTTACTGGTTTACTTATGTTGAGCCAACCTCACCTGTCCATTGATCTCAGAAGCCTTGCCTCGCTTGCTTGGCGACAGGTTCTTGGCAAAGTCCTGCCCAGGACTTAAACATCTTCAAAAGCGCTCGCGGAACACATTTTGCAAAACTGAAACATTAGTCTTAAAATATCATCATGATTTTCATCTTTACTAATCGTGATCTTTGAAGTAGATGATTTCATGCGTTTTGTGGTGGCGTCATGGTGATGCTGGGGGGTCCTTGGTGTCCAGCCAACCAGCTCATTGACTCATCAAACGACTCGTGTAGACACTCGGTCTCCTGTAACGGGCAGCTCCACTGGATGACTAGTTGGGAAGCCGGTGCTGGATGGTATCAACCAGCTATCATGAGGATATACATTATTCAGCATCAACAGTTTTGAAACATTTGAAAACTACCACCAGGCTTGAACTATGATGAAACTAATTCAAGTCGTTGTGATATGTTGAGAAACGGGATTTGATGATTGGGCAGAGTGGAATTCTTGCCTGAATCTTTCAAACATTTAATCTGCTCTAGGATTCGTGTCTCCACAGTAGCATGGTCGAATGGCTCTCCATGACATGCCAAACCCCCACCTCGTCGATCAGGAAAATTGCCTAGCGCGGGAAATGAAAAGCCAAACGGGGGATACACACCGGGTTTCGAGGAGATTTCCTTCCCGTTCTTATCGATTGCAACTTTTAAGAATAAAAAATACTGTATAATATATATATATATATATTATTATTATATAAAATATATAAAGATTCAAGGGACCGCCTTTTTTAACAATGCACTGCAAGACCGAGTTTGTCAGAAACTCAAAAATCAGACGGAAAAATGACTCGAAAAAAAACTCTTCCCTCCCCTGGAGCATTTGAGGAACCCCTGTCCTCATTCAGGAGAATTTGAGGAACCCCTGTCCTCATTCCTCTATACCCCAAGGCAACCCGGCCAAACCCAAGGTTAACCTTGTCCCAGGTATAGTGGGGCCACCCCAGTGTCCGGCCAAACCCAAAGACACTGAGGACCTTCACCCCATATCGAAACATATTCCCCATGTTTCTGATTTTTTGCTCCTTTGGGGAGGGGGGGGAGGGACGATGAGCCAACGCTGCGGTATGTTAAAAATTCTGGAACCCTTTCATCTTTAAGTACGAGGGCGTTAACCCAAAGATTCAAGGGACCGCCTTTTTTAACAACGCACTGCAAGACCGAGTTTGTCAGAAATTCAAAAATCAGACGGAAAAATGACTCGAAAAAAAACACTTCCCTCCCCTGGAGCATTTGAGGAACCCCTGTCCTCATTCAGGAGAATTTGAGGAACCCCTGTCCTCATTCCTCTATACCTCAAGGCAACCCGGCCAAACCCAAGGTTAACCTTGTCCCAGGTATAGTGGGCCACCCCAGTGTCCGGCCAAACCCAAAGACACTGAGGACCTTCACCCCATATCGAAACATATTCCCCATGTTTCTGATTTTTTGCTCCTTTTCCAACGTCCCCTTCTCTGCGAAGGTTTCTTCGTATGCTCAAGCTTGGCTAAAAGTTTGGTGAGACCCTGTATCTATTAGCTTTCGAGATCGCAAATAACTGGGTTCAAAAGAATGGGCCTCTCCGTAAGGACTACAAAGTTACTATTGAGATATATTCGTGCAGTGACGGCGGATTGTCACCTGCCCAATACGAAAAGAGAGTCAAAACGTCCATGCAATTGAAACAGGTGGGTAGCCCCACCACGGTGAAGAGAGTAGTCTATAATCGAATTCCCGTGAACCAACAGCATTGACTGTGTCAGCTAACTGTTTGCGCCACTTATAGGTGGCATTGCACACTAGGGTCTCGGGAGATACGGAGTTAATCCATCTGATGCAAACGTTGAAACAGGTGGGTAGCCCCACCACGGTGAAGAGAGTATCTCTACAATCGAATTCCCGTGAACCAACAGCATTGACTGTGTCAGCAAACTGTTTGCGCCACTTATA